TTTTAGACAGAAGAAGAAAAAAGTAATGTATGTACATGCTTTAAAAAAAAAAAATCAAGCAGCGTAAAAAGGTTTAGGGGAAAGAGTAAGTTTCCACCCACCCAAGTCTTCTGGTGCTTTTCCCAGAAGTAAACTCATTAGCAATGGTTTCTCGGGGCTCCTTCCAGAAATATTCTCCACACATGTAAGCATTTGTTTTCAGCCCCTGCTCTTCCAGCACAAATAAGAGGATCCTAGAAACTCTGTCCTGCACTCATTAACAGTATGATAGAGATTTTCTACTGGGCATGGCACTTTGGGAGGCTGAGGCAGGGGAATCGCTTCAGTCCAGAAATTCGAGACCAGCCTGGGCAACATAGCAAGATCCCATCTCTACAAAAAAAAATTAAAAAGAAAAATTAGCTGGGTGTGGCAGCATGCACCTGGAGTCCCAGTTACTTGGGAGACTGAGGCAGGAGGATCCCTGAGCTTAGGAGGTCAAAGCTGTGGTGACCTGTGATTGTGCCACTGCACTCCAGTCTGGGCAACAGGGTGAGACTCAAATTCAAAAAGAAAAAGGAGAGGAAAAAAGGCAATATGGTAGAGATTTTGCTATATCAGGACATGTTGATTGACTTCATTCTTTCCAGTGGCTCCTTGGCATACCGTTACGTAACTTACATAACCTGTCTTTTGCTGGTGGTCTTGCAAGCCTTTCTCGTCTGTCAATTTTAACAACAAAGCACCACCGAACGTCCCTGTGCTCACACGGAGGCATGTTTGGAGGATAAATGACTAGGAGTGGAATTTATTTTGTTCTTAAGACTTTGGGATTGAATGTTCCCCAGTCTTCCCGAGTAACCCGCTTCACCGCTAGCATCCTTTTGTGGGAGAAGTTCTGACCTACATCGTATTTACTAGAGAATAGAGTTTTTATTCTTAGGTTCTGGGTTTAAGGAAAATTAAACATCTGATGGCCACTGCCTTTTTTTTTTTAAGATAGGATCTCACTCTGTCGCCCAGATTGGAGTGCAGCAGCACGATCCTAGCTCACTATAACCTCAACCTCCTGGGTTCAAGTGTTCCTCCTGCCTCAGTGTCCTGAAGGGCTGGGACTACAGGAATGTGCTACCCTGACTAGCTAATTTTTAAAAAATATTTTGTACAGACAGGATCTTGCTATGTTGCTCAGGCTTGTTGCCTTTTTGATGTCCTATGTTTAGATAGCATTATTGAGTTACCTCTGTTTTAGACAAGGTGTTTTATTTCTCCAAGCTGAAAATTTTACCTCCCCGCCTCCAGATTCTGCTTACAGACTTTGAGTCCTTGTGATTCCTTGCATTGATACTGTCACTGACTTCACATGCAGGCTGAGAATCTCAGTGGCATCATAGTGGTGTGTTTGTAGCATGCCCTGAGTACAGATTTATTGCATGGAAACAGGACTGTCCCCAGAGCAAGGCATCTGGGTCAGGGTTCTGGTCATGCAGGTAAGCTAGGAATGGACTACATGATCACCCCCTAACTCCACCCTCCTAGGGATGAGATTCTAAATATTTAGCAGCCAGTGAGGGGTGAGGGTCCTGGTTAGTGCTGAGGCAGGGTGGCTTCTGAGGCCCTTACTGAGCCAGGCTCCAACCTGAGGGAGATGCCAGGCTGGGTGGCGGGACCTTGAGTTCAGGGTGACATCAATTATCTAACCAAAACAGAAGTATTTCAGTGTTTTAGCAACCAATAGGGTCTCACAGGGGCATACCTGCTGAGTATCAGCTGTGGTTCTCTCTGGGAGGATTTGTGAGATGTGGTGTGGTTAATAAGAAGCCCATTGACCGAGTATGGTAGCTCATGCCTGCAATCCCATCACTTTAGGAGGCCAAAGCAAGAAGATTGCTTGAACCCAGGAGTTCAAGACTAGCCTGGGCAATATAACAAGACCTTATCTCTACCAAAAAAATTAAAAAATTAGCCAGGTGTGGTGGCACATGTCAGTAGTCCCAGCTACTTGGGAGGCTGAGACTGAAGGATTCCCTGAGCCCAGGAGACTGAGGCTAGGGGGTCATGATGAGCCATGATCGTGCTATTGCACTCCAGCCTGGGTAACAGAGTGAGATCCTGACTCACAAAAACCAGAAAACAATTGGTTTGTAGTGGAGAAGCCAAATCTGAGTCAGAGCTGGGCTTCTTCTTGGCTGTACAATCTTCAGCAAGTTACTAACACTTTTCTTATCTCCAAATGAATGGGTTTGTACCATGTAATAGCTGATGCCTCTTCCTGCTCTAAAATTTGAAGGAATAATACAAGCAAAACATATAAGGAGGAAAAATTCCTAACATGAACTGTTTTCTTGGCATTTTAGGTTTATGTCTTAATGGTGCCTTTTTTTCCTTCTAATCTTACCTCTTCATACAAGATAAGCCAAAAAAAATGGGTTTGGGGGAAGGATTTGAAAGAAAGGGACCATTGTTTGGCTTAGAGGTTCACATTATAGAATTGTGAAAAGGGCTAGGAGAAAGGGATACAGGTTTGAATCCTGACTTGGATACAGTTATATTCATTCATTCACCAAATATTTATGGAGTCCTAACAAGGACTGTTCTAGGCTCTGGGGGTAGAGAAGAGAGTGAAGTAAGTACCCCTGCTTTCAAGGAATTTACATTTAGAGGAAATGAGGCATGCCACTAAACCTCTTTGGACCTAAGATTTCCTACCTGTTGTCTTTAGTGATGGATGGCATTGGTAGTGTTACTCTCCGTTCTGCTGCCTGTGACAGACATAACTAATCAATTCTAGCACTCCAAGGAGCTACAACCAGTTGCTAGACGATAAGCCTGTGTGTTATCCTGGGCTAGATGAATTCTAAAATTCTCTCCTGCTCCAAAATCCATTCCTGTTAATTGCTTCTAACTATAATAAAAAAGACAGTATTCTACTGAGGAAAAACTACACCAAAATTCCAACATATAGACGTATAGAAGCTACAGAGTTTACAAGAAAACGACCATGCCTTTGGTTTGGTTTTGCTGGGTACAGGAGGAATGTGTGCTTGTAAAATTATCTTAGATCTTTGGGTCTGAGATTCTTCCTCCAAAGTCCTTTGCTGCAAGTTCTCCTCTTTGACTCGTTTTTCTTTGATTTTTGGTTAAGAGCGAGACCCATCAACATTCACTTTTAACTCCTTTCACTTTGGAAGACTCCGTAATGCAGTCTCTTTTTATTGGAGTCAGGTTGAGCAGAGTCAAATCCCATTTGTTTTGACAAATGTTTCGACCGCACGCTGGATCACTCAACAGCAGTCACCAGCAGAAGGCTTCCTAGGGGTCTAGCGTGTGGCCATCTGGTCCTTCATGCTTCACTCAACACGGTGAATGCCAAACCAAAGTTGAGCTGATATCAACCTCTTTGGTAAATTTCTCCTTCAGAATCCAAAGACATTTTTACAATATTTCCATTTTTAATCCCCCTCACCACTCCCATAGACAGACCAGCAAAGTCCAATGTGCCCAAATTGAGCTCAAATTGAAAAAAGAACTGGTGCGGTGGCACACACCTATAATCCCAGCACTTTGGGAGCCCGAGGCAAGAGGAAGGCTTGAACCCAGGACTTCAAGACCAGCCTGGGCAACATAGCGAGACCTCATTTCCACAAAAAATAAAAATAAAAAAACTAGCCAGGTATAGTGGCACGTGTCTGTAGTCCCAACTACTCAGGAGGCTGAGGCAGAGGGATCACTAAGTTCAGGAAGTGGAGGCTGCAGTGAGCTGTGATTGTGCCACTGTGTACCAGAGTGAGAACCTGACTCAAAAACAAAACAAAACAAATCTAAAAGCAAAAAAAAAGGAAAAAAATACTTGAGGGGTTTCTGTTAAAATTGATAACTCCACCCTTTTGAGTTTCCAAATGCATCTCTACCTGTAACAAAGCAGGTAGATTTGTAAATAATGGGGAAAAATTGGCTTATTTAATCCTGTTAAATATACACACCAGGGCCTGAGATTCTAAAAACAGCTTTTATGATTTCTAAATTACAAGGAACCAGAGGTACCACTCTATATAATAAAAGTCTTAATTTCCTTTGGGAAATGAAGGCTGGGCTGTCCGACATCCTAGGCTGACGCCCCCATAATTTGTGTCAATACTGGTATTTTGTGACTTGCACTGAGGTCAGCTCTCCTCTCTCCCAGAAGCCCAGGAATTGTGGATGTTTAAACCAAGGAACATTTTATTCCTAGATTGAGTTCAATGAATTCTCTTTTCGTTGGTGGGGAGAGAGATATGGAAAATAGAAAATTCATACTTAACCTTATTTAAAGCAGTAAATATTAAATGTAGATGAAATAACTCAGTTTTTAAGATTTGTTATGGACATCCTTATTTTTCCAGAGCTGCAGAAAAGATTTCTTACTCATTTGTGAAATAAGGTAGAAGATTTTAAGGAATTTACGGTTAATAATTTTTGTGTAGGATTGTGTGTTTTTTATAGAGTTTTGTGTGTAGTGTGAAAAGTTTGTACAAAATTTTAAAAAGCTTCAGTTTTAAGAGCATGAATTTTGAAAACAAAGTGCTTGCTTGGGTTGAAATCCCAGGTTCACCTCTAATTATTTAACATTCTGCGAGGCTCAGATTTTTTTTGATCTGTTAATTGGGGATAATAAAGAAAGCTACTTCCAAAATTATGGACTTCGTCGCAACTTGGATGGATTTAGAGTCCATCATACTCAGTGATCTATCACAGAAACAAAGAACTGAGCACCACATGTTCTCACTTATAAGCAGACCCTGAACATTTATCATAAAACTACGAGAAAGGGATTGGCAGTAGCAGGACACTGCTGGGGGAAGGGAGGGTGAGGGCAGCACACTTCATCAATAAGGGCACGTGGTCCCAAACCAGGGGGAGTGAGGATCAGTGGGAGACTCATTTAAATGTGGCAGCTGGGTGGAGGGTTCCAGGTAGAATGTGATGTGGGAAGGGATACTTTACTGGAGGTCACTGAAAGGGAGTCGTTTTGCTGTTTGCAGATGTGGTTGGCCTCCTTGGCTTTCTGTATGCCTCCAGTGGAGAAAACACAGGGATTGTCAAGAAGTTCCTGAGGTTTCGGAACCGAGAGCTAGAGGCCACCCGACGCCAGCGGATGGATTACCCAGTGTAAGGATGGGCGGTGGGCGGTGCTGGTTTTCTCTGAAGTCCAGAGCAGGCTAGTGGAAGAAATTCTTAGGAAGACACACCTTTGGAAGATGCTGTGCAAAGATGTTGAGATTGCCAGGTGTGGTGGCTCACACCTATCATCCCAGTACTTTGGGAGGCCAAGGCGGGAGGATCGCTTGAGCCCAGGAGTTCGAGACCAGCTTGGGCAACAAAGTGAGACCTTGTCACTACAAAAAGAAAAAAAAAAAAAAACTAGCCAGGCGTGTGCCTGTAGTCCCAGCTACTTGGTAGGCTGAGGCAGGGGAATCTCTTGAACCCAGGAGTTAGAGGCCATGGTGAGTCATGATCATGGCACTGCACTTCAGCCTGGGAGACAGAGTGAGACCTTATCTCAAAAAAAAAAAAAAGTTGAGATCTACACGGTTTAGAATGTGTAGAATGTGAAAACTTCCAATTAGTCTTGAATCATCCTTGTGTCTAGTGGTCCTCAGTTTGCCTCAGCCTTTGTCCATGGGGGAATGACACAAGCAGGCAGCAAGGTGTGAAGCCTGCGGCCTTGCAAGGTTTCAGGTGCAGCCAGCCAAAGCTAGCCCAGATTGCAGTCTTGGCTTTGCCTTTTTTGTCTTGGAAGATTGGATGAGCTGCTTGAAATTTCCCAACTTCTGATCTCCTCCACTGATTTCAGCAAAACCCAGACACACACACACACACACACACACACACACACACACACACACACACACACATTCCTTCGACTGAATTGAAGATGCTGAAAATGATTCCTGGTTCACCTCAGACTGGATGGATTTAGCAGAATGATTTAATTCTTCCCATGCTGCTGGCTGTAGAAAGATCTTGAGTCACTTTACTGAGCGTATGTTCTTGCTAAGCTTCCTTGTAATAACTTATCTTCATGAGCTTGCTCAGCTGGGTGGGTCAGGAGGGAGCTATGTGGCACCATCTGTTTGCATATCGTACCACTGATTTGGAGGCCAGATTATAAAGCCCAGAATATTCTAAAGGACTTGTTTGTATGTATTCCCGAAGAACCTGGTGCAACTACTGTTTTAACCCAGACTGTGAATTGGCTGCTGTGGAGAGAAAGGGGTGCATGGATGCATTTGTTTTGACCTTGATTCAAGTTTCATGTGCAAAACGCAATTATTCCCACCTCCTCATCTTTGAACTACTGGTCACCAGCACAATGTGCAGTATCAAGCAGTGTCCAGCAGATCTTCTCTGAGTGATGGATGGATCGCATATCTTGGCTGAATGTGTCCTAGTTAAGTTGGCTACCGCAATTTTATCCTCACTGCACAACTCACAGATGTACAATATTTCCCCCACAAAAATAGCCCAAGTCCAGGAACGGAATAATTAGATTAGTTGTTCTGTGTTGGTCAGCCAGACCGTGATACCAAATAACCTAATTGGGGCATTTAAGCAGTGTATATGTGTGTCCCAATTATCACATAGCCCTGCCATTTGTAGATGATTACATTTCCCTACCTTACAGCTTTCATCTTTGAAAGAAACAAAATTGCTCAAAAAGCCCTAATTATGTTTTTCCTTTTAATCATAGAAATTAGAATAGCTTCTTCTCAAATCACCTCTTATTAAAATCCGGATTTTTATTCCGTGGCTGGCTTTATAAGCCTTTATCAAGGATTCAAATAGCAGGCATGGGAGAGGCTGAAAGACCACAGAAACCGAGTTTTGGGCGCAAGGTGGAATGTCTGCGAGTTTTGCACAACGACGCTTAACTCCTGTCTTTCACAGTTACTATAACTACCTCCTTTGTCCCCAAAATCAAGCTTTGCAAGCTGATCTCCTATGATGAACACGAAGACAAATTCATCCCTTCGTTGGAAAGAAAGCAATTTACTTGGTCATTGTTAGCTGTAATTACCTGTTCTTGGATGATATCCATCAGCAGAATTTTTTTTTCCCTTCTCCCCTTATAGGTTTACTGTTTCACTGTGGCTTTATTTACTCCATTATTGCAAGGCCAATCTCTGTGGGATTCTGTACTTTGTTGATTCCAATGAGATGTACGGCACACCTTCCGTGTTTCTTACTGAAGAGGGTGAGTACACAACAGAACCTTTCAAACGATATTGTAATGCTCTTCTGTGCTGTTAACAGATACGTCTGCCTGGAATAAGGAAGATACTGTCAACGCGGCAGCCCAGCAAGACCAATGGTTTCCAAATGTGGGCTTCGAATTTAAATTTTTTCCTGGAAGCTTATAAGACCTAATGTCTTATTTACGGGGGAATGCATTTACGAATGTGTGTGTTGGTTTGTGGGCCAGGCACGGTGGCTCATGCTGGCAGTCCCAGCACTCTGAGAGGCTGAGGAGAGAGAATTGCTTGAGCCTGGGAGTTCTAGACCAGCCTAGGCAACATTGCAAGACCTTATCTCTACAAAAAAAATTTAAAAATCAACCCTGTGTGGCAGCACCCCGTGTAGTCCCAGTTCCTTGGGAGACTGAAGCAGAAGGATCATCTGAGCCCAGGACGTCAAGACTACAGAAGGCTGTGATCCTGCCACTGCAATCCTGCCTGGGCAACAGAGCGAGACCTCAACTCAAAAAAAAAAAAATTGTGTTTGTTGGTTTTGCTTTGTTTTCGTTTAAAGGAAAAGGGAATGTGATTTAGTCTTGTAGCTTCTTAGAACAGTTGTTGAACAGTCCAACCGCTTCGTTCACTTCTAGATATTTTCTGTCCTTTCATACACTTTAATTTTCTTTGTAGGTCATTTGCATATTCAGATGCATCTCGTCACAGGAGAAGACCTTGCTGTAAAAACAAAATTCATCCTACCTTTGAAGGAGTGGTTCCGACTGGATATTTCCTTTAGCGGGGGCCAGGTATCCGGATACATGCTCCATTACGCGCCAGATGAGCTTTTTTGCTTAAAGCTAAGCATTGCTATAAAGCCAGGGAGCAACAAAATTTGCAAAAGTGAATTTGTGGTACATGATAGACTCATTACAACCACACACTCACTCAATCAAACTTTTATAGATGGAAGTTTAACTCATAGGAATCCCGTCCCATTTAATTAACTTTTAAAGTGCTTCTTTTGACTATATTGTGAATGAATAAAGAACATAGGCAGCTCTGAAGCCATGATGATCTCAGCCATCGAGTCCTTTTCTCCGGGGGGATAGGCTTTGTGGAGATAGATGTTAAACCAGCATCGGCCATGTTTATATAATGTTGTCAGCTCTACAACTTTTTTTTTTAAGGGAAATTTATTGGTTAGTTCAGCCAAGAAATGATTTGACTGTTTTTGGCAATTGAAACAATTGCTTATGTTTGGCATGAAACAGACTCATAATAACCAGCAAACATAAGTGATAATTCTGGTGGGACGGAGGGACTTTGTCGACTTTGTACTGTAAAACATTGTGTGATCTGTTGTCAAAGTCTCATAACACCAATTGTGTGGATTATGGCAAATCTGTTGTCATAATTGAAGACAATTCTGTTTCTCATGCCAGCTTGCTCCCTTTTTCTGGTTGCTTTATTTTCTCATCAGCTTTTCCTATTGATTGGCGATTTTCGGTAACAAAACTGGAAGAGACCTTTTGTTTATCTCTTGCATGAGTTGATACACAGTCCTCCCTTGATATTTAGGTTTTATCACTTTGACTTTTTTCTGAAGAGAAAAGAAATCAGGTCAGAGCTTACTGTTTTTCTGAGATGAGTCTGTAATAGGTTAGCTGGGATGTCTTGTATGTTTCCCTACTTCCTTGAAAGTGGCAGGTGACATTGCTGTGGTCCACGCTATAGCCTTCTGTGTGAGAATGATGATGGCATTGGAGCTTGGTTGCGGCTTCCTCCTAAGGAGAGGCTCAGCTCAATGCTCTGTGTCTCTGAGGCAGATAGCAAATCAGCAGAGCAAGTTGACGGATCTTATTTTGCACCTGCTGTATGCAAAGCATTGTGCTCAAGTTGCTTATGACTATTAAGGGAAGTAACATGAGGTAGGTGAAGGGCTGCCCTATGGCGAGCTTAATTACCAGGTGATTCCCGTTGATATCTAGAAGGAAGTCAGCATTCCGTGCTGGACTGCACTGGGAGGGTTTCACAAGAAGTTTCTATGGATGGGCAGAATTAAAACGGAGAAGAGGGGAGGGAGCGTTGCAGCACCTGATAAGACAGTTTGACGGGAATAGCAATTTGCAGACTATAGAGAACTCACAGAAGGAAAAGAACTATGTCTTCAGGGCCAAAGCGTAGAAAATCTTGAATGTCAAGGAACTTGGACTTCATTTGGCATGGCAGTTGGGCATTATGGAAGATTTTTGAGCAAGAAGCAGTCCTTTAAAGGAGGAGATGGATTTAATGGCAGAGCACATAGTTGAGCAAAGCAAGAGACAAGAATTAGAGCAGTAAGGTGAAGGGCAAAAAATTTTTTTTGGAGTATGTTGACTTCTTGCCCATTTGTCCTTCATTTGTCTCATCTGGGCTCCCTGTAATATATGTAGGTTCCAAACAGCACCAAATGCTTTCTACACAAAACCCACTTCTGTGGTGGGACTCCCACATGCATTGCTTCAACTGAATGGACAAGTGACTTAAGACAAGTGGTTGGTTTAGGGGAACAATTGACGTGGGTCCTTTTATTTTCTGAACCAATAGGTTGTATGGCTGAATTCGGTTGTTTCCAGTGGGTTTGTTTGTCTTTCATAGCTACGTCTTTGAGAATCTGGCTAGGCCAGCTGAAGATTCCTAAGTGCTTGCTCTGTGGTAGCACTGGGGAAATAGAAGTGGCCCCCTAAGTCAAGAGGTTTATGGAGTCCAAGGCATGAGAAGAGCCCATGTGAGACTGCTAGCAACATTTGTGACAAAAACATTGATTCTGGGCTGGGTGTGGTGTCTCATACCTGTAATCCTGGCACTCTGGGAGGATTACTTGAGCCCAGGAGTTCAAGACCAGCCTGGGCAACATATCGAGACCTCATCTCTACAATAAATAAATAAATAAATAAATAAATAAATAAATAAATAAATAAATAAATAAATAATAAAATTAGCTGGGTGTGGTGATGCACACCTGCAGTCCCAACTACTGAGGAGGTCGAGGCTTCAGTGAGCCATGATCATGCCAGTGCACTCCAGCCTGGGTGAGAGTGAGACCCCCCAACTCCAAAACAACATCAGAAAAAGCCAAAAACATGGATCCTGTTACAATGAGAGTGATTCTCAGTGCTTAGGGAAAGGGTGGTGGGAACAATAGTGCGTGAAAATAGTACACAACAAATCTTGTTTTCCCCCTAAAGGCTCTCATGGAATCAGTAAAATTTCAAAAACTGATTGTCTTTCTACACAGTAAGCTTTTAAGAACAAACACGTCAAATGAAACTTTGGCTTCGAGTTTGGAAGTATCTGAAACTCGCTGGCAGGAACAGTGTTGTAGATCTTTTGAACCGCATCAGGTCATTTGGGGAAGTCCGATTTATGAAGTTTTAAAATTTGCACAGGGCTAGTAAACTGTTAATTTTACAGCAACTGATCAGGTGAATCCTCTTCTAGCTCTTGTGATGAGTAATCTTGTATATCTTTCCCATCACAGATAGTAGTGACCACTAGCATCGGACAGGATTTGAAAAGCTATCAGAATCAGACCCTTAGGTAAGTGCAAGTTTGTTTTTTTTTTTAAATTCCAAACTTGGCTGGATGAGGGTTAAGGAATCTTCATACTTTTAGGTCTCAACTCTAATGTATTCCACATTCTCATTCAGCTTTTCCGAGCATGGGTTGTGCTCTGCCCTGTAGCTAGTCTTTGTACTTTTTTTTTAAAAACCATGCATAAACTCTCCGTGTCTCTCCACAACCTTTTTTTTTCTAAGCAAGAGAAACTAGTCCTCTCTCCAGATCTCATTGTAAATTCTTTCTTTCATGGCACTTTATAATTCATTTTCTTTGAAAATTATCTTCTAGGAAGGATTCTGAAAAATAAATCAAAGTATTAATATTGCTTGTTGAGGATGGTTGGTAACTTTGGGCGAGTATAAAACATAAAAGCAGACAGTCTTCATATTTATGTTTATAATCTGGATTTGAGATATGTGCAACTATTGATATTTGTGTCACTTTTCATCTTAATATAACTGTTCTCTACAAGGGGTACAGAAACTGAGAGCTGGGTCCCTTGCCTTGCATTTCATAATTTTTTAATTTGTTTTTACATCCATGTGTACTAATGAGTTTTATAGTGTCAGAACTGCAGGCCAAAACTTCATTAGGAATTCGGGATACCCCATCACCACGAGATAATATGCATATACAGATTGCCACTGACTTGATGGTTAGACCTGTGATATTTTGACTTTACAATGGGGCTTATCAGGGTATTAAATGCATGTTAGACCTATGATATTTTTGACTTATGATGGTTTAAGAGGACACAACTCTACTATAAGCTGAGAAGCATCTGTAATTGACTCTTTAAGAATAAATGTAAGGCCGGGCACAGTGGCTCACGCCTGTATCTCCAGCATATTGGGAGGCTGAGGTGGGAAGATTTCCCGAGTTCAGGAGTTTGAGAACAGTCAGAGAAACATAGTGAGACCTCATCTCTACAAAAATTAAAATTAAAAAAATTAGCTGGGTGTAGTGGTGTGCGCCTGTAGTCCCAGCTACTCAGGAGGCTGAGGTGGAAGAATTGTCTGAGCCCGCAGAAGATTAACGTTGTGGTGAGCCATGATCCTGCCACTGTACTCCAGCTTGGACATCAGGGTAAGACCCTGACTAAAAAAAAAAAAAAAAAAAGAAGATAAAAAAGAAGAAGTGCGAGCTGGGCTCGGTGGCTCAGCCTGTTATCCCACGCATTTGGGAGGCTGAGGTGAGTGGATTGCCTGAGCCCGCGGGTTCGAGACCCGCCTGGGCAGCGAGACCTCATCTCTACAATAAATCCAAAAATCAGCCGGGCGTGTAGCACATGCCT